GGGTAGTGTAATAACACAGGTCCCTAATTATGGGACACGCCCACCCTTCATCCAGGGCCCTGATTCAGGGTAGTGTAATAGGGGCATTAAAGAGACAAAAGTATCGAGTAACTAAGAAAGTATAATTATAGTCAACCAAATCTAAGAAATACATTTTGACAGCCGTCAGACTTATTGCAACAAACATACCAACCAAAAAATGGGAACGTAAAATATTCGATTCTTAAAAAAATTGATATCGATTATTTAGAGTTGGTAATCATTTACAGTTTGGTTTTAATAATACCAGAATATATTAAAACGGATAATTTAAAACACAAGATTTATCAGTTTCTTCGTATTTGTTGTTACTGCTTATTTCTAGAGGCACAGTAATAAAAATTTAAGATTGAAACTAGATTCAAAATAAATTTATTCAATCACTTTCAGTACAACTAGTAAGGATGTCGTTGTTTATGTTAATTATTATTATTTGATTTTCAATAATGCAGTCAAAATTAATGTCTCTTTCAAAGTTATACATAATCAATTTTTTTGTTTTTTCTACCATTTTTGCCCAATCATCCTTTGTGACATGGGCACATACTTCAACGAATTTTTTTTTCATAGCATTGGGTGACAAACGAGCACACAGTCCACCTGATGGTAAGTGGATGCTGTGGCCCATAGACATATACATTTATCCTCAATTAAGAATTAAAATGCAAATGCGTTTGCACCCCCGAGGACTAATGGAATGCCTTGATTCCTGTAAAAAGGGTCTCCTGTTCCCTACACTCACCATATTATGAAACACATCAGCATTACGCTGCTATTTTACGCTGGTATGCTGTGAGAGCGTGGTCCTGCATTGGTTGAGCTGACCCATTCGTGCTACAACTATAATATAGATGTAGCGTGGCTCTACCACGTACAAAAAGTTATTATAGAAGAAACAGTCCAAAAAGTTAAATCTGAGTCACAAAATAAGAAGAAAAACACAAAATCACAAAACTACGCACAGTAAGCTCTCGAAACAGGAACAGAAACTTTTTTATTCAATATAGATTATGAATAATACTTATTGAAAGTCAGTTTTTACATTTACCACTGATTCGCAAAAAATACCTTTGTCCAAGGAAGAACCAGCAAGAAACCCAACGGGACTAGTTTAAAAAAAATAAGAACTTACAATCATGCATGTTACAATTAACAACACAAAACAAATTAGCAAATAGCTTGGTAGCAATCACCCTTCCCAGGGCTCATTATCATCCATAAATTCCTTAATATTAAAATAACACTTTTTATACAAATTTAGTTTAATAAAGTTTTTGAATTATGTGTACTTACGTCAAATTTTGTATTTTCCGGCATTTTGTTATAAAAGCGTATACATCGCCTCAAAAACGAATTACTGATTCTGTGGAGCCGAGTAACTGGTACCGAAATGGCGGGATATTTAAATGAAGTAGTGGTTATTTTAACACGGCCTTGTATATGAGTTTTTTGCCTACAAAAATTTACTTTGACAAAGTAAAAAAATAAACTTGTCTTATTCATGATTCTTGTAATTTAAGGAATTTTGAAAATAAAAATTAAATTAAACAAATAATACACTTAAGAAATTAATGATTCCATTATTAGAATATTTTTACCGATTATTTAATTATTTTGCCGATGATTCGCATAACAATGAATTTTAATCATCAAAACACTACGGTAATATACATAGCGACATGTCATTGAAACGACGTCAAGTAAAAAAAGTTAATACCTACTGGTTATTTTTTAATATTTTGCTTTGTTTGAAAAATTCAAATTTAAATTAGTGATAAAAAACTATACACGTTGTAATGAAATATAGATAACTTCATAATTCTTCGAATTTACGTAAAAGGTTATTTTAAATCGTGTGAGTACGCTTGTGCAAAGTTATTACGGAATGATTAATGTGAAACATCAAAAGGTATTTCTTAGATTTGGTTGACTATAGTAAATGTATTCTATATAATAAAAGTATCGAAAAAATGACTATTAGGTATCGAACCAAAAGTGTCGATACTACTCAGGTATCGATACTTTTTGTGGCTCTCTACAGGTACCATGGTACAACACTTACGAATTAACTTGAGACTCCGCTGGAATACGACCCCCTTTCCGACTCCCCGCACCGCGTCCCGCGCTGACCGTGCGCGCTCAGTACCGATAGCATTTTTGTTATGGATACACGTCTCAACTCTAGTTCGATATTTTTGATAATTGTTTGTTGTTTGGTTTGGACTTTTGTTTGTTTTTGTTATACTTGAACGTTATTTTATCTGTTTGTTGTTAATTGCGTTGTTTTATTGTTAAGTTTGGACGTTGTGTTGTGCCGTTTTCTTGTGATGCTTAGGAGTTACTCCGCCTTTTTTTATTTTTAAAAAAAGATAGGAGGAAAGACAATACATAGCCAAGCATGGACACTTGCTCTAAAAGTTTTAAAATTTTTCGAAGATGAAAAATCAAATAAAAAGTTTCTTATTCCTGTGGACCAAGCTTTAAAGAGGGCTTGTGCAGCAACAGGCGTATCAAAGGCAATACTACTAAGAATGAAAAACGAGGCTGTATAATACATAAACGATTATGTATAATAAATAAATTAATAATATTATAAATGAGAAAGTGTGTATGTTTATTTCTTTGTCCTTCCTTGACGCGTTAACTAAAAATAATATTATATATATTATAAAAAATAAATATTTAAAATATATAAAAATGGCAACAGTATATCACTTATTACTTCACCCCTTGCCAGAACATTTTATTTTGTTTTTATTAATAATCTCATGCAAATCTCAAAAATTTCAAATAAAAAAATATTACGACGCGTTATTTTGCACACCGTACATTGATAATTACGTCATCGGCCCAGGTCTCAAGTTAATTCGTACGAGTTATACCTAATAAATATGTACCTAGCTGTAATTAGGTACCTATGAAAAAAATGATTTATAGTTATCAATTAAAAAATGTACTCTGTGATCTATTACCAGAGTTATGGAGTGTAGTGTAGAGGTAAGGAGTACAGACTGTATAAAAAAGTGTCCGTAGGAAAGCGTTAAATAAGGATGGCGCCACTGTAGCTACAGTCTAAGTTTAAAGAACTGTTTATAATTTTTTTATTGCACAGACTTTCACCATATTTCTTTTTACAATAATTATTTTATTGCTTTCAAAATTTTTATTTTCAAAATCACTCTCAACGTATTTTACGGCGATTTAACATATCACGTAGTTACTCAAGCGCTGTAGTGGAGAGTTTTTGAACTGTTATTTACTGCTTACAGATGGACACTTTTTTAGCTATTCTTCTATGGGAGTTGGTACTCCTTACTTCTACGCTCCATAACCAGAGTATATTCTATGTTCAATTTTTATAGGGATGTAATGCAACATCAACACAAATACAATGATGTTGAAACATCAATTTCTAAAACATCGATGCTTATGAACGATACATGTATTCGATGTTTTAATAAAAAATGGTTGTAAAGTCTGTTTACAGACGATAGTTTTACGTGACAACATCATACCAAAACATTGATGAAGTGATTGCATATTTTCATGAATAAAATTGAATTATCACTATTTTGTATGGATACAAAGAAGGAGTTAAATGAAATCTACATTGAGTTCGGCTTGCGCCGATCGCTCAAGCTGATCGTGCCTTTCGCTCGTCCGTGCTCGGTTCTGCTGGAGCGTAATGGCACAATGAGTCATCATTTTTCATGCATGTAGTCGGCGTTCGTCAATTTATTACACGTTATCACGTCAAAATATTGATTGACTGAATCTCTCGATAGAGAGTATATATGTTCCGTTGTGAACTGAATTTTAATTATAATCAGAAGTTAAACACACATTATATTATTTAGTTATTTGCAAATATTTAGGACAAATTATGAATTTAATTTCAAATTTTTCATTAATTCATTACAGGTTATCAAAAATAAGTTACTAAATATAGACCCCCATAAATTGCCTGAACGGATAGTTACTTGCAATAGTTGCCACGATTGGCAGGCGGATTGGCCACCTCTGTTTTTATTGTTTATGAGCTGTTATCATAAAAGGATTACTGCGTTTCTCCTGTTTTTATTTTCTTTGTTGCCTTTTGCAACACCCACGGTATGGGGTATATATGGGATAAATATTTATATATATACGTATATATGATATATGGGGTATATATCGGATGATATGGATTAGTTAACCACGATCACCACTACATGGCGAGATTATATTTGAGTATTGAATTTAAAAAAATTGTTAATATTTATAACCTGGATTCCAGAAAGCGATTCCTTTTTTGAGTTATAGTAACTCCTGTTTCAAAGATATACCTATAGTATAAAAATATGGAATTTGTATTCTTATATCATTCCATTTTTCTAAAGCATCTCCTGTTATATACTTGATTGGCAGTAATCTTACTCAGTCACACTCACAGAACAATAATACTCTTTAGGGGTCTTATTGTTCTGTGAGAGTATTCTACTATATTATTAACTTTAGACTTTAGATACTGACATCTATTTTTATTATTTTAGTTAAGGTTATAATCACAAATTATCGCTAACATAAATAATACACAGAAATTAAGGGCTCTATTCAACTATAAAAATATCCTTAATCCATAGACAGAGAAACCTAGGTTTCTCCATAATTTCGCCTAGTTTCGCCATAATCAAACATCGTTCATAAATAACAAAACATCGATATTTTTTTGGGAAACATCGATGTTTTGTAACACCAATGTATCGTTTGTATCCCTGTTTACCTTCAATTTGCAAATAAAAGTTTAGTTTAATTTTATAACAAAATCTTTAGTCCATCATGTTTGTGGACATTATATATTTTGAGAAATGTGTAATCAGTTTTTAAATTTGTCGTAATTTGTTACGGCGGTAGGCATTTTAAGAAACAGATTTACGGACAGTTTTCCAAATGTATTGTTTTGATAGATAATGGATCCAAGAATGTGCAGACAAATCAGCAGTAGTGAAAGTCTTCCAGATGCAGAGATTGTGGAGTTTGAGGAGTCAAATATTATCGTACCTCAAGAAAGCGACGATAATTTTCTACTTGAAGGCAGTCCAGAACCACACTCTGTGACATGGCTCGATGATGATCAGATCGATGAATTAGATATAAATTTAGACCAAAATAACCTATTTTTTCATAGAGTTGATAGTGCAGATATAATTTATAGAAATAAAAAGAAAAAATGTAAAATGGTAGGAAAATACGTCATGGGCGACGTGTTAGGTGAAGGTTCATATGGAAAAGTGAAGGAAATGTTGGATTCAGAGTCACTGTGTAGGCGAGCTGTTAAAATACTAAAGAAGAGGAAGCTTCGACGGATACCAAATGGTGAACAGAATGTACAGAAAGAGATACAGCTACTGCGAATACTTAGACACAAAAATGTGATAGAACTAGTCGATGTTATGTATAATGATGAAAAACAAAAGATGTATCTAGTTATGGAATTTTGTGTAGGTGTTCTTCAGGTAAATTTTTAATTATCATCAAACAAAATCCATTAAATAGACTAAACTATTTTTAAATTTGTCATAATTTGTTACGGCGTGTGTGTGATAATTAAGTTTCTGTTATTTGTGGAATAATATCATTTTTAGGATATGTTGGAGTCAAGCCCAGGAAAAAAGTTTCCTCAAAGACAAGCACATGATTACTTCACACAGCTACTTGATGGCTTAGAATATCTTCACGGACAAGGAGTGGTCCACAAGGATATAAAACCTGGAAATTTACTCTTGACTCTTGATCAAACACTTAAAATAACAGATTTTGGTGTTGCTGAAGTAAGTGCTTTATTTGTATACAATGTTAAAATGAATGAGCTTTTTATACACTTTATATTAGTTTGTGTGTATGTACCTGTATGTATTTATGTATGAATGTAATTGAATTATGTCATTCAGTTTTTACCCCCTTCTAGATCTCTAAATTGCCTAAAGTTTTGGAGACATATTAGGAACCAATAACAATAGAAACAATTTCATCACAATGACCTAGTAATCTCACTAAGATTATCACAACACATGATCAATGCAAAAATATCAATGTATAGTATACTCTGTAACAAATAAAACTACTATACTATGATGATTTATTACACTAGCAAATATTTGAGTAATGATAATTAAATTTAGTAATATTAATTATATTACAGAGATGGGTTTTACTGTTGGATATTTAACTTTTTGTGCCCAAAAAAAGATGTGCTCTCTATAAATTAAATAAGAAGTTGCTATCTGTTACCAAAATTTCTACAATTATTATAATGTTAACTATAATCTATAATGTTTTTAAATGTTGATTTTATTAATAAAACAAATTAAAAATTAAACATTTCTGTCAGTTGGGTTAGTAGCTTAACGGAGTTATTTCTTGCCTAGGAGTAGGGGCGAGAAGCCCTCTCTTCTCTACAAAGATGTCGGACTTTAAAGTTAGGGGCATAAAAATAAAACTTCCTTTTGATTATTGTCTTTTTCAGCTTTATCAGTTGGTAATAACATTATGTTACTACATTTATTGAGTCATTTTGTCATCTACATATTTACATATTTAAGTCATAATTGTTAAATATTGTTTGTCTCCCATCTTAGTTGTAGAGGAAAACAAATAAATCAATATTAATGAATGGAAATATTCATTAAAATTTATTCATTTGTTGTTTATGGAGATAATAAGCTTTTATGATTTCATTATCAATTCCTCGATGACTTCCAGCCTTCTGAACAAGCCTGTTTCTGAAAAGGCTTTAGCACCATAGAACACATATATATCCTTCGCAACTTTGTCTTGCGTATGTGGACTATCAGAAAGCCTTTGATTCCATCAAAATTTGTGCGGTGCTGCAGTTCCTTCACGGTGGCAAGTGGACTGGCGGTATATAGAAGTGCAGAAGTGTTTGTACAGTAGGGCTACGATGGCTATCCGAGTACAGAACCGGAGTACAAAACCTATTCAACTGCAAAGAGATGTAAGACAGGGTGACGTAATATCTCCAAAACTCATTACCACTGCATTGGAAGACATTTTCAAGCTACTGGACTGGAAAAGATACAGTATTAATGTCAATGGCGAGTACATCACTCACCTTCAATTTGTCGACAATATAGTCCTTACGCTAGAATCGCTGGAAAACCTAAGCACTATGTTCAATGACCTCAATAGTGTCTCCCAACAGATAAGTCTTAAGATGAACATGGAAGTCATGTGTAATGTCCATGTCACACCTATGCCAGTGGTTGTTGGGAGTACTAAGCTCATAGTTGTTGATGAGTATGTTTAACTGGGACAAGTAGTCCGACTAGGTAAGTCCAACTTCTACCGAGAGTTCAATTGACGGATTCAACTTGGCTGGGCAGCGTTTAGGAGATTGCGGCACATCTTCTCGTCAGGCATACCTCACAATCTCAAAACCCATCCTCCCTTTCATAATACAGAACATTTGTGATAACTACTATGTATGTCACGTAGATTGTCAATCACATTACCGGGAGTTTTGCAACCTTTCATCTTTGTTCTGTTTACTTTACAACTTTTATGAGGTTTTTGGGGGCCTAGACATTCATCATATCATTTAAAAGGCATATATCTTTTAATATTGGTTGATTTAAATTATGTTGATAAGTTTTATAATGTGGCATATAATAAGATTTTTTATAATAGGCTTGTAGGGAAACATTACAAAATCCTGAAATTAATTATTTATGGTTCAAGATTAAATATAAAAATGTAGCTTAAAGATCTAATTTTTAATTTTAAATGTTACATGTATAATTCATTCAATACTGCAATAATAACCATGTAATAATGTAATTAATAGATAATAGAACTATGTTTGAAGTTGTCACAAACCTTACATTTGTGAAGGATATTTAAAGTGTCAGCATTATTAATATTCAAATTTCCATTTGCAAACGGTAGATTGAATGTTTTGATTGGGAAAAGTTTTAGATGCATTGAAAAGTTCCATTGAATCAAAGAAACTTAGCTCCTGAGATATTACGGCTTGCATTGCTACAGTACATATATTTTAATATACAGTGTGAGTCTTTATAAAGTGCACATATCAAAACCGGGGAAACTACACATAATTTATCGACGGAAAAATTATAAAAAAAATTATAATTTTTTTTTATGAATATAATTTGAAATTGCAGCTGCTAACCCTATTTAAATAAATTATTATAACTTTTAAATTCAATATCATATCAAAACGGAATAAATTTTTAAATGCCTGTTAATAATAAGGCTTGCTAATAAATTAAAAATTTCCAAAAAAATGAACATCATAAAATTAGAATAAAGAGGTTTTAGATACATTTTTAAATGATTTTTAATAATAAGCCGTGCCAGGCTTATTATTAAAAATGATTTAAAAATTTATTCCATTTTGATAGGACATTCAGTTTAAAAGTTACGAGGGTGGATTGAAAAGTACTCGGCTTAACCAAGAAAATAAACACATACTAAATCAGTTATATTTTTATTTTTCTACATAATCACCATCAAGTTCAATACACTTTTGCCACCTCCCCTTCCAAGCATTTAGACCGTTGAAAAAAAAATGATTCTTCCTTAGAGTCAAAATATGCGTCTACAGCTGCTTTGACCTCGTCGTTTGTCAAAAATCTTTGACCTCCCAAGTGCTTTTTTAGGTTAGGGAACAGAAAGAAGTCTGATGGTGCCAGATCAGGTAAATACGGCGGATGCGGTAACAGTTCAAAGCCACAGTTGTGAATTTCAGCCATTGACTGTACTGACGTGTGAACACGGGCATTATCTTGATGAAACAGGACTTTTCTTCTGAGCATTCCTCGACGTTTTTCTTTTATTTCCTCTCGTAAACGACGTAGTAAGGTGCAGTAGTAATCAGAGTTTATAGTCTGACCCCTTTCAAGATAATCAATCATAATCACACCTTTCGAGTCCCAGAATACTGAAGCCATCACCTTATTTGCCGACAAAATCGACTTAGCCTTTTTAGGGGGTGGTGAACCAGGTCTTCTCCACTGTTTTGATTGTTGTTTTGTTTCCGGTGTACAGTAATGAACCCATGTTTCGTCCATAGTAACAAAACGATTCAAAAAATCATCTGCATCGGCTTCAAATAACTCCAAACAGTCGCGTGAAATAGTCAATCGCGTCCTTTTTTTGTTCAACTGAAAGCAGTCGTGGAACCCACCTCGCAGACACCTTGTGGAAACCCAACTCGTTGACAATGACGTTTTGAGTTCATTCATAAGAGATGCCTATAATCTCGGCTATCTCTCTAATTTTTAATCTGAGGTCTCCCATTATTAAATCAAGTACTTTTTAATATTTTTGTCAGTAGTTGACGTCGAAGGCCTTCCAGAGCGGGGTTCATCTTTCACACTCTCTCTACCACGCTTAAATTCTGCTATCCATTTTTTGACGGATGAATATGACAGAGCACAATCGCCTAATGTACTGACCATGTCATCATGGATGGCTTTTGATGATAGCCCCTTCTTATGGAGGTACTTAATGATGGCACGCTGCTCGATTTGCTCCATTCGCGGAAATTATGTCCGATTACTTTGTTAATAAGTTTATAAAATCACAACTAATTATCGCACACGTTTCGAACTTCACACAATAAACTAGCCTGAACTGAACTAAATAATGTGGGTAGATTTGATTTTTAGAATTGAATGGATCTGTGTTAGGCCGAGTACTTTTCAATCCACCCAGGTATAACAATTTATTTAAATAGGGTTACCAGCTGCAATTTCAAATTTTAATGTATTCATAAAAAATAAATAATTTTTTATTATTTTTTCTTCGATTAAATTATATGTAGTTTCCCTGGTTTTGATATATGCACTTTATAAAGACTGTATATAAATTACATGTCGCATTGTTTGTCCGCGATGGACTCCTAAACTATTTAAGCGATTTTAATCAAATTGGCACACCATGTGCAGTTTGGTCCAACTTGAGAGATAGGATAGTTTCATTGCCCATGAGTGACCACATATTTTTTTGTGAATTTAAGGATTTTTAATACGACATGACTGAGTCGTCGAAAAGGGCAGAACAACGTCTGCCTGTCAAGCTGGTATGTGTATATATTCATCTTTATCGCCCCATAAAAGTCTACTTCTGAACATGAGCTCTCCTGTTAGATTTATCCAAAGCTAGACATCTGATATCTTTGACACTACTGCTATATTATTACAGTTCATTTTGACTCATAAACCAGTTATTAGTCTTATGGTCCACAATATTTTGTATTGGATTTGAACCTAGTATTGGATATGAAACGATTTTTTTTTGTATAGTTGTAAGTGTGAGTAATGTGGAAGCTGTATTCAATAGATATCAACCCTGAGGATTAAGATGGAATATCTTGTTATCTCTTCTCACTCTTATCACTCACCTCATGAAAAAAGCAGCGTTTAGATGTTTTTTACGCTGATTGTTTTACACTAGTGCAGCATGATAGAATCTACCTTGCTCAATATTCCTCTCAGATATGATATATCTTGGTGTATAATCTATTTTTCATCCATCATCTCTGTTTTGTTTCAGGCCTTAGATATGTTTTCACCAGAAGACACTTGCTATACAGGACAGGGCTCACCAGCCTTTCAACCTCCAGAGATTGCAAATGGAGCTGAGCAGTTTTCGGGAACTAAAGTGGATATATGGAGCAGTGGAGTTACATTGTATGACAATAATATATTATTATGTGCATATTGCCTAGTGTTCTGGGAATAATTTATGTGTAAATTATTCAGATTTACTGAAAATGATAAAGTATGGCCTTTTTGCGGCTTTGTGTTGATGAATACAACAAAGTATGATTTTGCATTTAGTACTTTACACAAAATAATTTTAACTGTTTGTGAGTCATTCCAGCGCAAACTGATTTAATTTTTGTCTTAAATAATACATATTGAATGACTCAATAATGTTTTGTAAATAGGTTAAATGTAAACAGTGACTAAAGTCAATATACTCTTGGAAAATTAAGGCCACGGCAACAATTGTAAAATATTGTCAGAAGCTATTGAATTTTCAAGAAATAAAGTCATCAAATCAAGAAATAAAGGGCTCGTTTTATAACTTTGCATCTATGCATTATATTATTTGACTATTGTACACATTTACATGACGTTATCCTTCACGCTAGCCGTATGAGGACGCCCAAGGTCGCTCAGCGAGCTATGGAGAGGGCTATGCTAGGAGTTTCCCTGCGTGATAAACTCAGGAAATGAGCATATCCGCAGTAGAACCACAGTGACCGATATAGCCCAACGGATTAGTAAGCTGAAGTGGCAATGGATCGGCCATATAGCTCGAAGAACCGATAACCGATGGGGAAGAATGGTTCTCCAGTGGTAGCTTTGTACCGGTAGGCGTAGTGTAGGGTGACACCCCACTAGATGGAGTGATGACCTGGTAAGACATGCAGGAAGTCGATGGATGCAGGTGGCTCAGGACCGTGCTTTGTGGCATTACATGGGGGAGGCCTTGGGGGTTCAGCAGTGGACTTGTGAAGGGCTGTAATGATGGTGACGATGACACATTTACATACATATATAAATTCACTGGGTCATCCCAGTTGATAACTTTAGTTTAGTGTTATGTGAATTTTCATAAACACTTGGTCTCATATCTTATTACACATATTTATTGGGAAGAAACTAAAAAAAAATTTGTCATCAATTATAATTTTTTTTACAGTTTCTTGGTTATTTTTAATATTTTTTTTATTCTCTGAAAAATGCCTCAGAAGACAGCATTTGCCTAGACGTGGGGCTATTGCTATAATATGAAGGTTTTTGTTTTATAAATGCTACTGGCACGTGTAATGTTTTATTTTTTGACAAATGCCTGGTCTCAGTCGAAGCAAATGTAAAAAACAGAATTTGTTGATTTTAGAATTTGATTCGTTGTAATTGTTCACGTATGTACGATAATGTATCTTAACCCAATTCCAATATTAATACATAACATTATCGAAAGTTTTCACCATTGTGGAATTCGAGATCATCAGCCCATTAAAGTCTGATGCTGGACATAGACCTCTCCCGTTAAAGAAAATCGTCACGCTTAGCTGATTGGCGATCACAGTACTACGTCGTTTCGTCACGCATTTAAATAATTGACGTTTTGCGTAAAAAAGATAGTATACCGATATCTATCTTTCGGAAATCATTAAACTTTTTTGGCATTTCCTATAGTCGCTTACGACGCCCATGGGACGATCAAATCTCGTATACCACAAGGTGAACGAATATTGTTGTTGGTAGTTAGTTAGTTTACGACGGGCTGTTTTCCGCAACTCCACGTCTAAGCGCGTATTTTGCGTGTAGGCTGGAATAATGTGGTTATTCGAGCCATGATATTTCCCCGAATAAGTTCAACAGTCCTTTAATGTTGCAAGCAACTTCGGGGAGCGATCCCGGCGTGCCGAGATGTTTAGCCCTCTATGAAGCGACTTCTTGACATGTCAGCAACACGTGAGCCGCCGTTTCTTCCTTTCCTATGCATGCCTTGCACAGGGGGCTATTAGTAACACCTATTGTGAACAAATGTTTGTTAAAAGAGCCATGTCCTGTGATAGCACTTGTTACTATCCTCTATAGTCGTTTACGACGCCCATGGGACGATCAAATCTCGTATGCCACAAGGTGAACGAATATTGTTGTTGGTATTTGGACAGTCGAATTGTGCAACAGATACAATATGACTACGGGCCGTTACCCGTTCGAGGGCGACAACGTGTTCCGGTTGCTGGAAGCCATCGGGCGCGGCGAACCGGCGCCGCCGCCGCACTGCGTGGGGCCTGCGCTGCGCGCGCTGCTCGCCGACATGCTCAGCCGCGACCCGGCGCTCCGGCCCGACGTGCACCACATCCGGAGACATGCGTAAGTTTGTCCAAATTATCGATTTATTATAAACTGACGTACGTGTGGCGTCGCTGTCGTCGCGCCGCAAGCGAAACACTCGGAAGCCTAAATCACGCTATCAAAATTCCGAATCATAAACAGTGTATATAGAACATCTCCGAACTATTACATGGAGTGTTGGCCGCTCCCCGGGCAGAACACTTTGCCCGGCGGGAGATCTCCCCTTTTCCTTCTACGGCCACATACGAATAGATTGGCAGTGCAAAAGAGAAAGATCGTAGTGTACGCGTCTGTTAGAGCGAGAAAAATTGGCGAGACCATTCACATACACGTTATCGGCTGGCGTCATTCGTGAATAAAACAAATCCCTTTTGTATTTGCAAAATCTCGTGTGTATTCAAGTGAAAATTAGTGTTTAATATACGGAATTAATTATGGCTACGTATTTAGTACCTAAGTATAACTCACCTAACGACGAAAAACCCCATTAATAAACATCGATAACATCTTAATTTTATCGATATGTCCGTAACTGACAAAGAAATGCCTCGCATGCAGCCTTATTTAACTTCGTAATATTTTTAAAGATTAGCAATCCATATCTAAATATTCATCTTATCTTATGAATTTTTTTTGACCATATAAATTTTTTCTTATCGTATTATTTTTTTTTCACCTGGTGGTGAATGGATGCTGTGGGAGACTCACAAAATATTGATGTTCATCACAGCATGAAATTTTCAACTACATATATGCAGTAAGTACCTACTATGAAGAAAAATTTTTTTTTCTCAAAGAGGTGTACTAATGGAAAAACTCAGGTCTTAGATCCACATATCATCATGTATACAAGTTTTGAGGAATATGTGATGAAAATATGTTCAATACATTGCCATACATTGCCCAGTCGAGTTGGATCCGTCAGTTCAACTCGGCTGTTGTACCATTGTTTTCACTTATTGTTTACATGCATAGAAATTTATTACACAAAATCAGACAAGAGTAGCAATCTACCGGCGGTCAATTTCTTGCCAAAGTGCTCGTAGGGCGCGTTTTCTATTTAGGATCCGTCTGGATAGCTACAAAGGATGTAATTTTAGTAAATATCTCATTGTTTAAATGTATAATCTTGTTAATTTATTCGTAGAACCGACACGTATTGCTGGGCCTAGTGCGACCTGTATAGATAACATCATTACATATGTTAAGCCCTTGCATAAATCCATCATTCAAAATTTAAGTTCAGATCACTATGGACAGTGTCTTATTGTCTTACATACACAAAAAACAGAAAAATGAGAAAGTTGTGTTTGTTCCAATAAATGAACATCGTTTGGAGAGGTTTAGAATTAATATAGTAAAAGGACTTTTATGGTGCATGCATATTTAATTACAATATTTTTTACGTAATTGCAGTTGGGTGCAAGCTGTACCCCCTTTGGAAGCAGGTGAGCGACTGGTGAACCCACGCTCGCGACGCTCCGACGAACACCATAACTCCACTGTCATACCGTACCTAGTCGAACGCCATTACGCATCCGCGCAAGAATATTTCACCGAGAGGGACCTGAGGCATGGTGCGTATTCATTTCACATATTTGTTCATTAAAATACAATGTTCACGTCTTAACAGGCAAATGCAGTTTAAAGCAAACATAAGCATGACTAATAGTCGATGAATATATATATATATATATATATATTTATTGTATTTTCATTTTGTTAAATTATTTATGAACATCTACATAACTAAAATCACTTGTACAAAACCATTATTTATACATATTCTTTACATTAACTTGTTCGTTTATTTTAAAATTATATAGATTCATAAAATCTATGTATAATTCTATATAATATTATTTTTATTCTAACAAGCAATTAACCAATCTCAACTAGTTTCTATTTTGTGTTTCTTTCTTCAAGAATAAAATAAGAAAAACGAAACAAAGTTATATATAACATCAAAATAACATTTATAAAAAAATTACAAAATTTTATTTAATAATTATAATTTGACAAATATGTTCCATCTGGAGCTGCCAAGTCGGACAGACCAGCGAGCTTTGCCGGACATTTTGATAAAAAGGCCGGACAACCTTAATTTTTTAGTCTTAGTAAAATTACATTTTTGAAAGTAAAACAATGCTTCTTATCATTTACCATAAAATCTGAAATTATAATGAAATAACAACAATTGAATAAGCCAGTCTTCTTTATTATTAATCATTCAATATTCATCATAATATTAATTTCAACAATTGCTATAGTATGTAAGTACATGAAAAATGTAAAGAAATGGTCAAATTTAAAAAGCCTAACAAAAGCCGGCTGTCTAATTTGGCCGGACACGCAACCAGAAAGTCTGACTGTGTCCGGCTTTATCCGGACGCCTGGCAACGTTAGTTCCACGGAATGAAATTATTATAGTATATAAAAATCCTACCATGTAGATCCTCCTATGGCAATGGTGATGTTGCCGTATACCGTAGATTTTTAATAACATCTTTCGATTGCCGCAGGACGCGGTATTTATCGTAGCAATAGCAACACTTTGGTGGAACATGTTTAATGGAGTTTTTCATATTTGTATGAATAGTTTATGTCTAACCAATTTATGTCGAAACTTGTTATCACAAAGCGCGCGGGATTAGCGCCGGACCCTGCCTCGCTCTCCAGCCATACCTGTGTTATTGCATCAATTAGTACTGAGCAAATTGCCGGCACATCCTTATGTTTTGACTATTTTTGTGAGAAAATAGTATTTTGTTGTGTTATACTTTTAACAGTGGTAGAGCCACGCGGCAGCTTTGCTGTCGCACGTATGGGCCGGCTCAAACCGGGGTGGTACCACGACCTCACAGAATACCGGCGTGAAGTGGAAGCTCTGCTTCCGCGTTTCGTCTGGTGAGTGCAGGTGGCCGGAGGCCCAAATCCCCCCCCCCCCCATCAACATGGTAGCGGAATTCAATGATAGACTACCCCAGGAGGGTACCAGCACCCCTGGAGAATCCCTCGCTGAGCATCCACGACCATGTTTTTCCACTTCTGAGCGTGGGTGCTCAGGCTGCCCCGCGTATTCTGGGGGGGGGGCAAAATTCCGCTCAAGACTAAAACTGCTCGGGGCAAACGGAGCAACAAGACCAAGGCGACCCCTGCCACGCTGTCCGTGAATTTCTGCAATATCAGGGGACTTCACTCCAACCTAAACGCCGTCCACTACCATCTCGAGACGGCGAGGCCGGCTCTGCTCTTTCTGACCGAGACGCAGGTGTCCTCTCCGGCTGATGTCTCGTATCTCTCCTACCCGGGGTACAAACTGGAACACTCCTTTGTGCCTCGGGCTGGAGTTTGCGTTTACGTCAGAGAGGACATCTGTTCTCGACGCCTCGGCAGACTTGAAGGTTCGGACCTGTCCATCCTTTGGCTACGCGTAGACAGCGACGACCATCCGCGCGTCTACGGGTGCCTCTATAGGTCCCACAGCGGTAATGCCGAAACAGACCGACTCTTCGACCACGTCCAAATGGCTGCAGATTCGTTGCTACAGCAGATCCCCTCCGCAGAGATCGTGATCCTCGGCGACTTTAACGCCCATCACGCCGAATGGCTCGGTTCACGTTTAACCGATCATGCGGGGGAGATCTGTTCATGATTTTGCCTTGGCATATGGTCTGACACAACTGGTTACTTCGCCTACGCGGATTCCAGATGTGGAGGATCATGCACCTTCCCTGTTGGACCTTCTGCTGACCTCTCACCCGGACGGATATCAGATTTCCGTCGACGCCCCTTTAGGCTCCTCGGATCATTGTCTTGTCCGGAGTGTGGTGCCACTCACGCTGAAATCGCGGTTGCATTCTGCAGGCTGCCGCCGTGTTTGGCACTATAGGTCAGCCGATTGGGATGGGATGCGGTCTTTCTTTGCATCCTACCCTTGGGGGCGGGTTTGCTTCTCGCCGGACGATCCCAACGTTGTTGCGGATTCCGTCGCTGATGTGGTACTTCAGGGTATGGAACTTTTTATTCCTTCCTCTGTGGTGCCCATTGGAGGCAAATCTCAGCCATGGTTTGGTCGCTCCTGTAAAATAGCATCATGCTATAAGCAGGAGTGCTACCAGGCCTGGGCTGACGCATCAGCGTCCAGGGATGTAAACACCAGCGCTCTAAAAAAGAAGTATAATTCCGCCTCTAGGTCCTTCAAAAGAGTTATTGCCAAGGCAAAGTCAGAGCACATATGCAGAATTGGCGAGAAACTAGTTCGTCTTCCTTCTGGAACCCGTACATTCTGGTCTCTCGCCAAGGCTATCCAGGGGAATTTCTGTCAGCCATCTCTTCCATCTCTGCACAGGGAGGACGACTCACTGGCCCACACCGCAAAGGAGAAAGCCGATCTTCTAGGCTCTTTCTTTGCGTCTAACTCGACTCTCGATGACGGGGGGAGTACGCCGCCGACCATCCCGCGGTGTGAGTGCTCCATGCCGGAAGTGCAGTTCACTCAGCGCTCGGTTCGCAAAGCACTCCTCTCCCTGGACATCCACAAGTCGAGTGGGCCTGACGGAATCCCCCCCAATTGTGCTGAGGACGTGTGCTCCAGAGTTGGCACCGGTTTTAACGCGTTTTTTCCGGTACTCCTACTCCCTAGGCGTAGTCCCAAAATCATGGAAGACGGCTTTCGTCCACCCGATCCCTAAAAAAGGCGACCGCTCAGACCCGTCCAACTACCGGCCTATCGCCATCACCTCCTTGTTCTCCAAAACAATGGAGTCCATTGTAAACTGCCAGCTCATGAGGTACCTTGAGGATCACCAGCTGATTAGTGACCGCCAATACGGTTTTCGCCGTGGTAGGTCAGCTGGTGATCTTCTGGTCTACCTAACTCACAGATGGGCGGAGGCAGTAGAGTCCAAGGGGGGAGGCATTGGCCGTTAGTTTGGACATTGCGAAGGCCTTCGATCGGGTTTGGCACAAAGCGCTTCTTTCGAAGCTCCCTTCCTATGGGCTTCCCGAGAAATTGTGCGATTGGATCACCAGTTTTCTTGCAGATCGGAGCATCAAGGTCGTTGTAGACGGTGCAAGCTCCGATTGCAAGCCTATTAATGCTGGTGTTCCACAGGGCTGCGTGCTATCGCCAACGCTGTTTCTTCTGCATATCAATGATATGTTGCAGACCCGTAACATTCATTGCTATGCAGATGACAGCACTGGTGATGCTCTTTACACCGGCCGAGCCAATATTTCTCGGGAAAACGTCTCCGAGTGCCGGGACAAACTTGTGTCTGAAGTCGAGTCTCTGCTGGACAGAGTCTCGGATTGGGGGCGACTAAATCTAGTCCAGTTTAACCCCCAGAAGACACAAGTTTGCGCGTTAACCGCTAAAAAGAACCCCTTTGTCGTATCCCCTCAGTTTCAAGGCACTCCCCTTGTTGCCTCAGCCAGTATCGGAATCCTCGGCGTCGACATATCGAGTGACGTGCAGTTTCGTGGTCACTTGGAAGGGAAGGCCAAATTGGCCTCCAAAAAGCTTGGCGTGCTCAGCAGAGCGGGACAGTATTTCATGCCGGCACACCGCCTGCAACTTTACAAGGCGCAGGTTCGGCCGCACATGGAATACTGTTCCCATCTCTGGGCTGGGGCTCCCCAGTACCAGCTCCTTCCACTTGACCACATCCAGCGCAGAGCGGCTCGAATCGTCGACGACCGAGTGCTTTCCGATCGGCTCGATTCTCTGGCACTGCGAAGAGATGTTGCATCCCTTTGCATTTTCTTTCGCATATACCATGGAGAGTGCTCTGAGGAATTGTTCGGATTAATCCCAGCCGCCAAATTTCGTGAACGCACTACGCGGCAAACGTCCCGATACCATCCACACCATCTGGATGCTTGGCGGTCCACCACTGTACGTTTCAAAAGGAGTTTTCTTCCGCGTACAACCTCTCTGTGGAATAATTTACCACCAGCGATTTTTCCGGACCGATACGACCTGGGGACCTTCAAGAAAAGAGCTTACTCCTTTCTAAAGGGCCGGCAACGCACCCGCAATTCTCCTGGTGTTGCGGTTGATCATGGGCGGCGGTAGTCACTTAACATCAGGTGAGCCACATGCTCGTTTGCCCCCTCTTCTATAAAAAAAAAAAAAAAAATACTTAGTGAAAATTGATAATTATATGACACTAATGAGTGGCTTAGTGAAAATTGATAATTATATGACACTGACGAGCAAAGTAAAGTGAAATGTACTAATGTAAGGTAATGTTTCTTTGTTTGATTTCAAAAAAAATTTATCAAGCTTTATATATTTTGCTATAATTGAAAATAAATCTACAGTGCATAAAAACATAACGCTATACAATTAGATTTAAACCATAAATAAAATATACTTTCAATAGTAAAATTCTGAAAGACATGGCATTACTCAATTCGTGCATTTCAATACAATGGACACCTTGAGTAGCACTTTACGAATGTTCGGTGATTTAGTCGAAAATTCGGCCGAATACGAATAATCGGTATAGCTGCCGTATATTCCGAATACCGAATATGAAACGAATATTCGGCCCATCCCTAGTAAAAACGC